AGCACACGTGGCCGGTCGCAAATTGGGGGAATAATGATGATCAACAAAACTAAATAAATCATTCTTTTTAAAAAACCCTGGGGGCAGGCAGGTGGCGTGGTGGTTAACGGCACTGGATTTCCACATGGCCGAGTGCCATTCGAGTCCCGGACCTGGCGGCTTGCTTTGTCACTTATTCTCTCACTCTGACCCTTTCTGGTAAAATTAAAATAAGTAAATAAAATTAAATTAAATAATTCTTAAAAAAAAAATGCTATTTTTTGTAGTTGTAGTCGGGGCATGAGGGAGTTATTTTCCAGTAAAAGCTCTCTGCAAGGTCTTGAAGGCTAACAAAGGACGCCTGGCTTTGAGCAACTGCAGATGGTTCTGTACAGCCTGAGTGTGTGGGGGGCACGGTTTGGAGAGTGAAAAGAGAGCGCGGGAGCGTTTAGTCTCGGCCAGATATGAAGACTTTTATTTCCCAAGCCCTAAGCAAAGAACCAAAGGTGAGACCACTGCTCCGGCTGCTCAGGTGGGGGGCTCCAGGGGCCCGGAGCCGCAGCTGCCTCCCTGCGCAGGTCACTTGGGCTTCGGCGGCTCGGCGCATGCGCTCGGCGCTGCGCAGGCTCGCGCCCTATTCCTTTTTCTGTGTTTCCCTCGGTTCCCCTGATTTTTCCTGGCCACAGTTTGCAGACCCCACGACCAGGATGGAGCAGCTGGACGCTCCGGAGCTGCTGATGAAGAAGAGATTCGAGGAGGAGGCGGCGCGGCCGGAGGAGCTGTGAGCCAGCCTGGGGGAGGGTGTGGGAACCGAGCGGGAGATTTGAAAGCGAGGAGCGGGAAAGGCCGCGCTGGCGCCTCTGCGGGCTGACCGCGGTGGAGACCGGACCCCTGCCCCTGTCCTGGCACCCGAGGAGCCCGGAGCTCCAAGGTCCTTATAAAAGGAGATTGCAGTACCTAGACTTTTCTCATTGTTTGATTGGAGGACCTAATCCCAGGGAGATCCCTGCACCCTCAGCGTGGTGTAAAAGATCGGGACCCTTAAACTCAATTATGATGTGGAATTACTTTCAATAGTAATAGCAAGAATATTAATAAATACTGAGGGACGTTTGCATTTGGGTGTTTAGTCAGCGATTTTTTTTGAGAGATCTTGGGAAATTCATGACCTGAGGCTAGGCAGAGTTCTTGAATAAAATGTTTACAAAATATTAGACCCTTAAGTCAAAGGTTGTGTAGGGTAACCTGAAAGACATTTGGAGTTGTAATTGGGGAGACAGTGACTTTGGACTCTCCTTTGGCCCCTCACTGATTGAGACGTCAGAGGGACTTAGGGGAGAAGGGCTGCTTTCTAGGAGAGATTGTTTTGCATAGTTTTCAGGTAACTTGGACAATGTAAAAGCAATGTGAAATTGACTTAAGTAAAACCTTTTGGGGGCCAGCAGGTGGCGTGGTGGTTAAGGCGTTGAACTCCTATATGGCTGACCAGGTTCCAGTCCTGGATCTGGCAATTTGCTTTCTCACTTTCCCTCTCTCTGTCTTTCTCTGGTGAGTACATATGCTCTATAGCAAATTAAAATAATAATAATAAATAAAATTTTAAAAAGAATTTCTCAGTTACTCTATGAAAGAATGACACTGTGGTAGGTATTAAGCTTGCTTTCTCTGCCAAGGAGGTTGGGGGCCAGTGCTTTTTGATCCCCAATGACTTTTTATAGAAATTATTATTTAAAAATGTTTTTCTTAGAATTATTTTTATTTATTTAACTCCATTTATTATTATTATTATTTTATTTGACCAGAGGGAGGAAGAGAGAGAGAAAAAGGGAAAGCAAGAAAACAAGCTGCCAGGTCCAGGACTCGAACTGCTGTCGACCATGTGGGAATCCAGCATCCTTAACCACCGTACAATCTGCTGGTCCTTAGAAATTATTTAATTTTGTTTATTATTATTATTATTATTATTTGCTATAGGGCATATGTGCTCACCAGAGAGAGAGAGAGAGAAAGTGAGAAAGTAAGCCCCAGGTCTGTGACTTGAACCACATTTGGCCATGTGGGAGTCCAGTGCTTCAACCACCGCACCACCTGGGGTCCCCTCATGAACATGTTTCATTTATTTATTTTAGAGGTTTCTACCTTAGAACGCATATACTCACTGGGGGGCAGGGGAGAGACAGTGAGAGGGAAGGTGAGAAATCACTCCACAGGGGAGACAGCCACACTGCATGACTCTCAAGCCACTGGATTTGGGACTTGAACCATGGTTGGCCATCTGGGAGTCTGGTGACATAACCATTATACCATCTGCTGGCCCTATAAAGCTGTTTTAAAAGGCATTATTTTTGGGACCAGCAGTTGGTGTAATAGCTATGTTGCTGGACTCCCATGTAGATGACCGCAGTATCTTTGCTCTCTCAATTGTATCTATTTAGCCAAAGATCATTGTGAAGCTTTCTGGAAGAAACAAACCTAGAGAACTGAGACATTAGTTTGTAGATAAGATAGATTGGGTAGCTTCTTATTTTATGGTTACGCTAAAATAGTTTTGTACATGTGTGCTTTAGTTTTCAGAAGGTAGAAGCTTCCTTTCCTAAAACAGTTCTGAGCCAAGGAATGGATAACCGATACCTGGTGTTAGCGGTCAATACTGTACAGGATGAAGATGGGAACCATGAAAAGCATCTGCTCATCTCTGCTTCCCAGTCACTGCAATCTAAAGAACTATGCATCCTAAAGAATGACTGGTAATTTCTGTGTGCCCTTGAGCACTGATCTGATGGTCTTACAGTACACTATTGTAAAATACGTCAAGTGGCTTGTGTGGATGTTGCTATAATTTAATTGTTAAAGGGGCATTCGAATAGAACCTGGCTTAATTCTACATGAAAATTGTGTCTGTTTCCCCAGCATTGAGTTTATTCAAAAAGTGAATTTTAAAATATTGCCAGAGGATGCGTGTGCTAATCAGAGAGAGAGAGAAAGAAAGCACCCCCCAGTGGAGCATGATCACTCTGCAGTCCCTTCTCCATTTTCCCATCCTGTCAGGATTTGGGGCAAATATGCACATGCATGTAGTGTTTTTTCTTTTTTCTTTCTTTTTGGGAGAGGTTTTTGCTATAGGGTGTGTGCGCTCACCAGAAAGACAGAGAGACAGAAAGCGAGAAGTCACCCCCCCAGGAGGGATGGCCATGCCACAATCCCTTCTCCATTCTCCTCTTTGGATCTTGGGCCTGCTTGCATGCACATGTGCCCGGCGTGAGTTTAAGCCGCCGGGTCCAGGACTCAAACCGCAGTCAACTACATGGGAGTCCAGTGAAATAGCCATTACACTAACTGTTTGTTCCAAGCAGTGTTTTTTCAAGCCACTGGGACCGAGATTAAGACCGCAGTTATCCATGTAGAATCCAGCTCCACTAGGCTATGGGACATCCCCCCCACAATCCCAATTGATTTCATTGTTTTTTGAAAATCAGGTATAAAGGGCTGTATTAATGACTACTTCCTATTTCCCAGTACCTTCTTTTTTTTTTTTTTTTTTTTTTTAATTTTGAGGGAGAGAGTTTTGCTATAGGGCACATGTGCTCGCTGAACAGAAGGAGAGAGACAGAAAGCGAAAAATCTCCCCCCAGGGGAGATGACCATGCTGCATTCCCTTGTCCTCCATTCTCTCAGGATCTTGGGTATGCCTGCACATGTACCCGACGTGAGTTTTAAGCCACCGGGTCCGTGGGAGTCCAATGACGTAACCATTACATCATCTGCTGGTCCCCTACTTCCCAGTGTCTTCTAAGTTTGTAGCTTAAAACTCATGTCAGTTCTCACTAAGAGAAAAATAACATAAGAACATTCTTGGGCAGGCTCTGTGGCATGGTAGTTAAGGCAGCCATATCTCACATGGCCAGATACATGGTTCAAGTCCTAGACCTAGCAGCTTGAGAGACATGCTGGAGGTATGTGCATGCATGCCCAAAATCCTGAAAGGAGGGAGAGATGCAGAAAAAGGGATTGCAGCATGACCGTGACCATACCAGCATGAGGTTTTCTGTCTCCAGTGAGTGCAGGTACTCTATAGCAAATCTCTCTTAAAAAAAAAAGGGAATTAATTATTAAAACAGTCCATTTCATAATTGTTATATATTATAGCAGCAAGGATTTGATAGCTTTTGCAGTAGACATGGCTAGTGCTAAGCAGTTTTCCTGTTTGGGAGTTAAGAATAACCTGAGTTTTCTCAGGTGTGTTTCAAAAATGGAAAGGGGTACAGTGACTAGAGTTGATTTAGAAAATTATGCCCTTGTATTTAATTTTTTTAAAGACCCAGAAATTGGGGCTGGCAGGTGGTATAGTGGTTTGGGTGCTGGACTTCCACATTGCTGACTGTGGTTTGAGTCCTGTACCTGGCAGCTTGCTTTCTCATTTTCCCTTTCTCTGTCTCTTTCTGGTAAAGTTAAACAGTAATATTAACAAATAGAATCAAATACATCTTTTTTTTTTAATAATACCATTATTTTAACTGTCACCATGCCATCTGCTGGCCTCAAATTATATATATATATATATATATATAAAACCCAGAAACTTAGAAATACTTATTTCTTCTTCAGATAAAATTCGCATTAATTTTTTCCAGCTGCCTTAATATACATAAATGTAGGATCCTAAACTGTTCATTTATACTTAAAAAAAATTTTTTTAGGAGAGACTTTTGCTAAAAATTGCGCTTGCCAGAAAAATAGACTGAGATATATATATATATATATATATATAAAACCCAGAAACTTAGAAATACTTATTTCTTCTTCAGATAAAATTCGCATTAATTTTTTCCAGCTGCCTTAATATACATAAATGTAGGATCCTAAACTGTTCATTTATACTTAAAAAAAATTTTTTTAGGAGAGACTTTTGCTAAAAATTGCGCTTGCCAGAAAAATAGACTGAGACAGAAAGCAAGAAATCACCCCCTAAGGGGTAATGGCTATGCTGCAATTCCTTTTCTCCGTTCTCCTCTTGGGAGCTTGGGTACACACACGCATGCACACGCACCGGGCGTGAGTTTAAGCCACTGGGTCTGGGACTCCAACCGTGTTTGACTCCATGGGAGTCCAGTGATGTAACTATTATGCCATCTGCTGGTTCCTATGCATTAACTTTCCTTTATTTTCAGGTGTTCCATACCAGTGGAGCCAGGAGATATCATTCATTTGGAGGGAACCAGCACACCTAATACTTGGATAATAGATGAAAATTTTGGTTATTTGATTCTATATCCAGACATGCTAATTTCTGGCACAAGCATAGCCAGTAGTATTCGGTGTATGAGGAGAGCTGTTTTAAGTGAAACTTTTAAGGTAAACAATATTAATAGCTAATTCTATAGAGTCTTAGAATTTACAGAGAACTTTTACATTTATTATTTCATTTAATCTTCCCAACATTCCAGCAAGGTATATGATATTAAGTAGCTGCATTTTACAGATGAGGAAAATGGGCTGATAGAGATTAGGTGACGTGTCTGAAGTCACTTTTTTTTTAAGGCTTTGCCATAGGGTATGTGCACTCACCTCCGAGAGACAGTGAGAGAGAAAGTGAGAAGAGAAATCACCCCCAGAGAGGATGGCCACCCCACAGTCCCTTCTCCATTTTCCTCCTGTGATTTTTGGCATGCACATGCACGTGCCTGGCATGATTTTCAAGCTGCTGGGTCTAGCACTCAAATCACGATTGGCCATGTAGGAGTCCAGCACCTTAACCATCATGTCGCCTGCTGGCTCCATGTGTAATCTTTTTTTAAAATCTTTTTTTAATCTTTTTTTTTTTAATTGCCATAGAACATACACCAGAGAGACAGAGGGGAGAAGAAAGCCCCTTGTAGGGCATGGCTACACTGCAATCCCTTCTCCGTTTCTCCATTCTGTAAGGATTTTGCGCATGCACATGTACACCAGGCATGTTGTTTAAGCTGCCAGGTCTGGGATTTGAACTGCTTTTAGATCTCATTCCCTTAACCACTAGGCTACATGGCTGTCCTTTCTTTTTTAAGTTTATTGTCTTCAGAGAGAGAGAGAGGCATCCCAACAGAGTTATACCAAATCTACTCTCGGTCAGCTAGGATCATGGGCATGTGTGGTGTGCCTACCTGTATAGATGTATAAGGAGACCTCAGGCTGCGAACTTGGAATCTTCCTGTGTGGCCTCAGTATCATGGAGCACTGTGTTACTCCTGAGCACTACACCTGGCCCCCAGGGTATTTTTTTCAATTGTGTAATTTATTTGAGTATTAAAAACAAAAAAGGTAACTGAGCAAAAAAGTGAAAGAGACCAGATGGTGGTGCGGTGGTGAAATACACTCTCTGTGGGGCCAGCAGGTGACATGGTGGTTAAGAGCACTGGATTCTCACGTGGCCGACTGTGGTTCAAATCCCAGACCTCACGGCCTCCTTTCTTGCTTTTTCTTCCTCTTTCTCTCTGTCTCTGTCTGGTCAGATTAAAAATGATTAATAACAAATGGGATTAAATAAATAAATAATTCTTTTTTAAAAAAGAAAGAAATATCCTCTGCAAGACTGACCCACATGGGAAGGTTCCTGGTTTGGATCTGGAGACCTCCCTGAATGCTCTGGCATGAACTTGCAAATGACCTAGAGCTGGCTGAAGGCTGGGGTGGATTGCAGCATCCAGACCCGATTGGGGTGTTGTCTGTTTGTCTCACTGTGTCTCTCTCATGGAGGAAATAAATGGACAGGCTTTGAGGAGATAAAAAGAGTAAAAAAAAAAGAAAAATGAGGCCAGCAGGTTACATAGTGATTGAGGTGACTGGATTCCACATGGTAGACTTCACGGTTCAAGTCCTGGACCTGGCAGTTTGAAAATCATGTGAGATGCATGTGTATGCATGCCCAAAATTGCAGGAGGAGAAAGAAGGAGTAGGGATTGCTGCATGATCACTTCCTCTGAAGAGCTACTTTCTCACTCCCCCTCTTCTCTCAATGATGAGCACATAAGTCATTTAGCAATATTAAAAAAGAAATTGGAACCAGCAGTTAGCATAATGGCTATGTCGCTGGACTCCCACATAGTCGTCTGTGGTTCGAGTCCCGGACCCGGTGGCTTAAACTCACACTGGGCACGTGTGCGTGCGTGCCCAAGATCCCAAGAGGAGAATAGAGGAGAAGGGATTGCAGCGTGACCATCCCCTCTGGGGGGTGATTTCTTGCTTTCTATCTCTCTGTCTGTCTGGCGAGCGCACGTGCCCTATAGCAAAAACCTCTCAAAAAAAAAGAAATTGCCAGGGCCAGTAGGTGGCATGGTGGTTAAGACCCTGGACTCCCATATATTGACCACAGATTGAGTCATAGACCTGCAGGCTTGCTTTCTCACTTTCCCCTCTTTTTCTCTCTCCATTGTTATTATTTAAAAATTTACTGTAGGGCACATATGCTCACCAGAAAAAGAGAAAGAGGGAGGGAAAGTTGGGACCAGCGGATGGTGTAATGGTTACGTTGCTGGACTCCCATGTGGTCGACCATGATTCAAGACCCAGACCCAGCGGCTTCAAATTCATACTGGGTACATGTACGTCTGTGCCCAGAATCGTGAGAGGAGACTGGAGGAAAAGGGATTGTGGCGTGGCCATCCCTCTAGGAGGTGATTTCTTGCTTTCTGTCTCTCTCGTGAGTGCACGAGCTTTATAGCAAAAATCTCTAAAAAACAGAAAAACCATAATTACTTAAACATTGCCAGAGGGCAGAGAGAGAGAGAGAGAGAGAGAGAGAGAGAGCGCACCCCCAATGGGGTATAATCATGCTGTAGTCCTTTCTCCATTTCTCCTTTCTGCAAGGATTTTAGGCACACGTACACACATACCCAGTGTGATTTTTAAGCCACCAGGGCCAAGATTTGAACTTCATTTGTCTATGTGGGATCCAGCTCCCTTAACTACTAGGTGCCGTCCTTTTAAATTTTTAAAAACTAGAAATATACTGATTTTTAAAATAACTCATATTTGTAAAATAATTCAGATAATTCTGAATAAGGTGAAAGTTGCCTATAAGCCTACCCTCTAGAAAAAAAACATTGGTGTTTTGGCATTTGTCTTAGAGTACACTTGGGCTATCTGTGTTTAATAGATTGGGTAATAAATGTACAATCATGTCTGTTCACAAGTTATGAAATAAAATGTAGTATTTGTTTTTATAGAGCTCTGATCCAGCCACACGCCAAATGCTGATTGGTACAGTTCTCCATGAAGTATTTCAAAAGGCAATAAATGATAGCTTTGCTCCAGAAAAGCTACAAGAACTTGCTTTCCAAACTCTTCAAGAAATAAGGCATTTGAAGGAAATGTAAGTAGTTATGTGGAGAACTGTAGGTACAAATATAGTATGAACTTTCTTCCTAGCATCTGTAAGGTATTTGAATATTAGACTCTTCAACACAAATTTGTGTAATCTAAGAATGCAGATTCCAAGGTTGCCGTACCTTATTGCAAATGTATAGAGTTTCTGAAATTGCTTTCTCCCTCTTCCTGTCCCGGTTTCTCTGTCTCTTCTAGTGAGCTCATGCAATCTCTGGCAAAATTACTGTATGGTAGTTTGTAATGTCTTCAAGTCTCAATGTCTGATGAATGTGCTATTATTAACATGAGAAAATTGTCAATTATATATTTTCAAAGAAGTCTTCAGAGTGTTGAAGACTATGCCAATACTCATGTAAACCCAGGCCTGCAGGGAGAGAATAACAGCAGTAAATTGATACAACACAGGATAGAAGTGGGCAGAGGGCTTAAGAGTTTAGGTTTCAGATCTAGAACTGAATGTCCTTTGGAAGGAACCTAACTTCTGGGCCTTAGTTTCCTCAGCTATAAAGTAGAAGCAACAGTAATAGTACCTAACTCATGGAGTTACAATGAGGGCTGAAGGCATTTATTCATGTGAAGCACCTAGACTATAGGCCTTATGTGGTGCTGGCCCATAGCACCATGTTAAGTATTCATTGTTATCATCTTCATGCCATAATGCGTTCTTACCACAGGCTAGGTACTTTGCATAGAATGTTTTATTTAGTCTTTAACTCTTATGAAGTAGTTGTTATCTCCACCTTGCAGATGAGGAAACAGGCTCAATTTTTAGTGAACTGCCCCAAACTCATATACCTCATTGGTACAGTGTTAGGATTCAAAACCTAGGTGTGGTCTGACACACAGACCAGTGTGCTCCTAACACCATGGAGTAGGGAGTAGAAAACTTACACAAAGAGAAGGAACTGAAAGACCCATCCTGGAAGGGTGAGTTTATGATATCAGTTCATAAAACTTTGGTCTCAGGACCCCTTTACACTAAATAATCATTGAGGACCATAAAGAACTTTTGTTTATGTGGGCTATAGCTATAGACAGTTACTGTGCTAAAAGTCAGAACTCAGATAATTAAAATGTCTATTAATTTCATTTAGAAGTAGCAGCATCCAGGGGCTGGTAGGTGGCATGGTGATTAAAGGTGCTGACTCCCACGTGGCCAACCACAGTTCAAGTCCTGAACCTGGCAGCTTGCTTTCTCACTTTCACTCTTCTCTCTCTCACTCTGGCCCTCTGGTCAAATTAAAATAAATAAATAAATAAAGTTAAAAAAATTATTAAAAAAAAGAAGTAACAACATCCATTCCATGTTAACATAAATAAAATTTTAATGAAAAAGAACTATTTTATATGGAATTATAATTCTTATTTTTTTCCTTTGTGTGAAGTCTTTTAGAACAGGTTAACAGTCAACTGCATAAATATTACTAATATTTTTTAAATAGAAAATTAAGTTGTCGCTTGGTAATTCACAAGCTATCATGCAAATAAAAAGACAAGAATAAAATGATTTGAGATGAGAACAACTTACCATTAGAAAAAAATGAACTATTTTGAGAAAAAAAGGAAAAAGATGAGTGGCATGTTTAATATTTTTGCAAACTTTTAAAATGTCTGACTTAAGGGGGACCAGCAGGTGGTGTGGTGGTTAAGGAGCTAGACTCCCACATGGCTGACCATGGTTTGAGTCTTGGACCTGGTGGCTTGCTTTCTCACTTTCTCTCTCTCTCTGGTCAAATTAAAAAATAAATGAACGAATAAATAAAATTAAATAATTCCAAAAAATTAAAATAATAATAATAAAAATGATGATGATGAATTAAAATAATTATTAATAAAAAATAGTCTGACTTCAGGACCAGCAGATGGTGTAGTGGTTACATTGCTGGACTTCCACATGGCCGACCACAGTTTGAGTCCCAGACCCGTGTGCATATATGCCCAAGATGCCATGAGGAAAAGGGATTGTAGTATGGCCATCCCCCCGGGGGTAATTACTCATTTTCCCTCACACGGTGTCTCTCTCCCCAGGGAGCACACACGCCGTAAAGCAAAAACCTCAAAAAAAAAAAAGTAGTACAATATCTGACTTAACACAAGTCAGCTGGGATCCAGTTGCCTTAAGCTCCATACCTACTGGCCTGTTCTTCACATTTTATTTATACATTCATTAGCCAGTGGACACTAGATTATTTATTTAGATGTTTTTGTCCTTGTTTACCTTTCTCATATTTATGTTTTCATATTTAATATCTCTTATTTTGTTAGGTACCGTTTAAATCTGAGTCAAGAAGAAATAAAACAAGAAGTAGAAGAGTATCTTCCTTCATTTTCTAAATGGGCTGGAGATTTCATGCACAGGAATACTTCAGGTGACTTTCCACAGATGCAGCTATCTCTGTAAGAAACACGTTTTGTTTATATGACGTTCTGTGTGTAGACTAGAATTTTATAGGGTATGTTGAGTCAAAGCCTTTAAAAAGTTGAGCTATAGGCAGGCCAGTCAGTGGCATGGTGGTGAAGGCAGTTGGTCCCATGTGACTGACTGCCTTATTCCCAGACCCTGTGGCTTGAGAAACACTCTGGGTATGCATGTCCAAAATCCCAAAAGGAGGGAGAAATGGAGGACAGCGTGCACAAACCCTCTGGCAAGTGAGAAAAAGTGGAGGGAATTGTTGGGAGAGAAAATGTAGGTAACAAAAGGCAGTGTGGAACCCTGGAAGCTGGCAGCATGTAAGGGACAGAGAATCCATCCAAGAAGATTTAAGATGAACCAACAGGGATTTGCTAGCCTAGGAGAAGTATATTGTAGAAGCCAAGTTATGAGTGTGGGACTCACAGTCATCTATGATCTAAACGGAATCTTTGAGATCAAGTCTTATATTTCTTTTCTCCAAAAAGACTTTATCTTTTTTTAAAAGATAATTATTTACTTAATTTTTATTCATTCATTTATTTATTTTAATTTGACAGAGAGAGACAGGGTGAGGGGAGTGAGAAAGAAAGCCATCTGGGATTCCAACCATGGTCAGCCATGTGGGAGCACCCAGTGCCTTCACCACCATGCCACCTATTGATCACCAGAAGTATCATTATCTTAAAAACTATATTCTATAGGCTGGCCCAAATGCCTAGTGATTAAGGGAACCAGATCCCATGTGGTTGACTATATGGTTCGTGTCCCTGATCCTATGGCTTGAGGAACATGCCAGGTGCATGTGCACGCATGCTAAGAATCCTGATGGGATGGAGAAATTGAGGAAAAGGGATTGCGACATGACCATCCCCCAGTGGGGGTGCTTTCTCACTTTCCTTCTTTGTCTCTCTGGTGAGTGCATGTGTCCTCTAGTGAAAAAAAAAATTAAACAGAACTTCTTTTGTAATATAAAAAGTATTATTGAGTACTTTGTTTTAAATATTGATAGTGGTGGGACCAGCTGATGGCATAATGGTTATGTCTCTGGACTCCCAAATAGTCAACCGTGGTTCCAGTCCCAGACCTAGCAACTTAAAAACTCATGCCAGGCATGTGTGCTCAAGATCCTGAGAGGAGAATGGAGGAGAAGGAATTAAGGCGTGGCCATCCCCCTCTGGGGGATGATTTCTCACTTTCTATCCCTCTGTCTCTCCGGTGAGTGCATGTGCCCTATAGCAAAAATCGCTCTTAAAAAAATATTGATAGTAGCAAAGGAATTACTTAAGGATTACATAAAGAAAATAACGGGGAAATGTAGGGGTGGACAGGGTCAGAAAATTTTCATCAGGTCGTGTGTGGCTGAAGTGTTGGATGAACAAGCTTCATGTTTCATAGATAGCTTATTTTTACCCAGTTTAAGGTGATGTTAGATAAAGGAATACCACTTTGCCATGCAGGGTGCAACACATGCAAATTTCCATATATTGATTTGTGTAATAATTGTGTATCAGATTGGTTTTGTGGCTCCAGAAAGCCAAGTAGTAAGTTGTAATAATCTAGACTTGAGGAAATAAAAGATTGAGTTAAGATTGTAGTAGAAATGAATTGAAAGGGACTGATGGTAAATATTAAGAAAGGTTAAATTACATGAGTCAGCGCATTTAATCACTGCTGAAAATATATGTAGGCTCCTTCACACCCAAAATTCTCAGCATGTAATAGAGTCAGAGCCATGTGAAATGAGCTAAGTATTCTTTCTAATCATGTGCTTCATGTGTTGTGTGTGTGTGTTTGTTTTTTAGGCCAAGTGATGGTAGTAAGAATAATTCAGCATGTAACATTGAGGTAATAAACTCACTGGATATTGAAGAAAGCATTTGGTCCCCTCGGTTTGGACTGAAGGGCAAAATAGATGTTACAGTTGGTGTGAAAATACATCGTGGAAATAAAACAAAATATAAAATAATGCCATTGGAGCTTAAAACTGGCAAAGAATCGAATTCTATTGAACACCGTAGTCAGGTATAAAATTCTAAAAAAATTGTCTGAATTTGTAATATACTTAAAGATGTAGTCTGCTTTATATATTTTGGTTCAATTCAGGTTATTTTTATTTGAGTTTTATGTAGACCATTTTTTTTTTTAAATAGAGGTTTTGTTGTAGGGTGTATGCTTGCTGGAGAGACAGAGAGACAGAAAGTGAGAAATCGTCCCTGAGGGGTGATGGCCACGTCACAATTCCTCCTCTTTTTTCCTTTCAGGATTTGGGGCACTTATGCACACGAGTTCAGTGTGAGGTTTTTTTGTTTGTTTGTTTTTTGTTTTTAATAATTAATTTAGTTTTATTTATTCATTCATTTATTTTAATTTGATCAGAGAGACACACACACACACAGAGAAGGAAAGTGAGAAAGCAAGCTACCAGGTCTGGGACTCAAACCATGGTCAGCCATGTGGGAGTGTCTAGCACTTTAACCACCCCGCAACCTGCTGGCCCCTCGATGTGAGTTTTAAGCTGCCAGGTCTGGGACTCAAACTGCAGCCTACTTTGTGGGAATCCAGCCACCTAACAGTTATTGTCATCTGTTGGTCCCGACTTTTATATTTTTAATGCATCCTGGGTATTCAGTTAATTTTCTACACACACACACACACACACACACACATACACACACACACATGTGATTTATATATTTATTTATATATGCTATAGTAGAAATTATCTTGGGCAAAGTAATTTACTAGCTGTTCTGGGAAGCTAGTGTTGCTATGTTTAGTCTACCAAACTATGAATAGATATACCTGGAAAAAAAATTTCCTTGATCATGTAAGTTAGGGAAACCAAGTGTATTTGGAGATTTTATGATGCATATTAGTCTGTTAAAGATTCTGAGAAGCCTTGTGCTGACTCCATTCCCTGGTGATTAAGGTAGCCTAATCCTACATGGCCAACCTTATAGTTCGGTTCCCTGCGCAGGTGGTTTGAGAAACATTCCCGATGTGTGTGTATGCCCAAAATCCTGATAAAAGGGAGAGATGGAGGAGAAGGGAAAGCAGCATGACCTTTCCCTATGAAGGGTGCTTTCTCTTCTTCCTCTGTCTCTTTCTCTCCAGCAAGTACCTGTGCCTTTATTTATTTCTCACTTTCTGTCTCTCTGTCTCTAACTCTTCATTTCTCCAGCATGTCAGGATTATAGGCACATATGCATACGTACCAGGCATGTTTTTCAAGCTGTTGGGGTAAGAACTTGAACCATAAAGTTGGTGATGTAGTGTCTACACCTCCGTGCTCTGGGTTTAACTGCTATACCATAGGGCTGACCCTTACGGTTCTATTTCATTTATGTTTAGTTTTTTCCTGAAGAATTATTTTGGGACCAGCAGGTGGCGTGGTGGTTTAGGCCTTGGACACTCCCACATGGCCGACCACGGTTCGATTCCCAGACCTGGTAGCTTGCTTTCCCTCTCTCTGGTCAAATTTAAAAAAAAAAGGAAAGAAAGAAAGAATGAATAAATAAAATGAAATGATTCTTTTAAAAAAAAGAATTCTTTTAAATTTAACTTTTTTCATTTGGATTTTTATTTATTTATTTTAATTTAACCAGAGAGGGACAGAATGAGAGCGAGAGAGGAAAAGCAAGAAAGCAAGCTGCCAGGTCTGGGACTTGAACCATGATCGGCCATGTGGGAGTCCAGTGCCCTTAACCACCATACCACCTGCCGGCCCCCTAGTAATGTTGCATTTTTGTGTAGAAAACCAGAAAAATCCATCATAACTTTTCCAATGACCCAGTAAGTCTGAATGTTTATTGTCTTAAGAACAATGATTTGTTTCATTATTCAAGTAAAACTGTGAAGCATGAACTATATTTCATGGCAATTAAATGTTTGTAATTAAAAAAAAAAAAAACACCAAACTTTTATTTATCTGTTTTTTGTGATTTTCGGGCTGCCAGGTCTGGTACTCAAACTGCAGTCGGCCATATGGGAGTCCAGCGCCTTATCCACCATGCCACCTGCCAGCTCTGGAAATTAAATTTTTGACAGAATTGTTGTGCTGTTTTTACTTAGCTCTTGTTATTTTCTAACTGAAATAGTTTCATTGACCTTTCAATTTTGGAATTATAACATATGTTGGTTTTGAGACAAATTAGGGAAATACAGGAAGTTATAGTTTTATTTGACAAAATCTTTAATGTTTTCACAGGTTGTTCTGTACACACTGCTAAGCCAGGAGAGAAGAGCTGATCCTGAGGCTGGATTGCTTCTTTACCTCAAGACTGGTCAGATGTACCCTGTGGCTGCCAACCATCTAGATAAAAGAGGTTGAGGTGTTTTCTTTCAGTTTTTCTTCTCTGCATTCGATCTGCCTTGCCTCTTCACCTTGTGGTGGTACATAGTTATACCTGACTATCTGCTCATTGCCCTTGGTAGACTTAATACAGGGCATAATTTATAGTTGTGTGTGTGTTCAATTTGCCAAGTGGTATGTACATTTGCCCAGAGAGGGAGTGGGAAAGTGATAATCACTCCTCATGGAGAATGGTCACACTGCAACCCCTTCTCCTCCATTTCTCCAAAATCTCTTTTGGGGATTTTGGGCATGCATGTATATGTAACCAGCGTGTTTCTCAAGCTATTGGATATGGGACTTGAACTGCACAGTTGGCCATGTAGGATACAGCTGTCTTAACCACCACATGGGCAGGCTTTTTTTTTTATAATTGTTTTTATTTAACTTGATTTATTATTATTATTTTTTAACTTGACTATAGAGAGAGAGGGGGAAAGTGAGAAAGCAAGCTGCCAGGTCTGAGTCTTGAACTATGGTCAGCTGTGTGGGAGTCCAGCACTCCAACCACCATGCCACCTGCTGTTCCCCTGTATTTTATTTTTTTAATAGTTGTATTTTCAAGCCTTTTTTTTTTTTTTTTTTCTTTGACAGAGTTCCTGCATGTTCTGAGAAAGAAATCTTCAGTGTGATATGGTCACATCACAATCCTCTTTCCTCCATTTCTCCATTCCGTTCAGATTTTGGGCATGAACACACATACACCCAATAATTTTTCAAGCCAGTGAGGCTGAGATTTAAATTATTGTCAGCCTTGTGGAATCTGGCTTCCTTAACTACTATGCTATAGGATTGGTTCTAGAGTTGGTTCTTTTTTTATTGTGTGTTTTAGTTTGCTATAGGGTGCATGTACTTTCTGCAGAGAGAGAGAGAGAGAGAGAGAGAGAGAAGAAAAGTGAGAAATGATCCTCTGGGGGATGGCCACACTGCAATCTTTTCTATTTTCCTCTTGGAAATTGGGTCTTACATGCCCACATGCCTGTTATATGCACACATGCCTCAAGCCTTTGGGTTTGAGACTCAAACTGTGCAGTTGGCCCTGTGGGATCCAGCCACTTTTTTTTTTTTTTTAAGAGAGATTTTTTTTATAGGTCATGCCCA